AGAGAAAGTAACAGAAAATACAGAACCTTCCCTGGGAGGTCCCCTCACCACGTACAGGAATCCACATCGAGGGGCCAGGAGGAAAGAAGTGGAGATAAGACCAATAACAAAAGACCTGCTACGGTATTGAGAGATAAAGACAGTGGAAGAACAACAAGAATGGGACAAGAAGAATTCCACAAAATCAGAAAGTCTGGCCTGACATGAGAAGAATCAGGCAAATTCTACATGTAAGGATGAAGGTAAAATATTCCAAGATGAAGAAGGGATGTGTGAGGATGAAGGAGGATGATTAGGGAGATCCAACAATAAGACCCGATAAGGAAAATAATGAGGAAAGTTGAGGAGAAGAGAGGTTCATATATGAGGACAATGGGCCCCAAATAAAGAAACCCTTTGGTCTGCAAGGTCCACTATAGGAGACACATGAGTGTATGCTCCGAAAGAATGAGGAGTTTCAGGGAATGTAGTGCCCCCCATAAGTGAAAGAACCTCTCATGCAGGAAGAGAATTAGAAGTGTAAAACTTGATTACTAGATATACCATAGCTTGCAAGTGATGAAGAGAAGACTGAACTTGGTGGAGACAAGAGATAAAGAAAACACCCAAAAGTCTCAAACATTGAGTGGGTAAGAGAAATGACTTAGATCACAGGATAAATCCCCCCTACAACCAAATCACCTGTAAAAGATGGGATGTGGGAGAACAGAAAACCATCTGAGAATGGGCCAACTTAAGTAAATAGTACAACAAAAGAAATGCGAATCCCAGGTTATGAATATGGTGAGTAAAGACCCTCATGATACCAATGAATATAAAAGGGTCCAATGTTAAGTTGAAAGAAAGAGAAAGGAATGGGAAGATGCAAATAAGATGGAGGATGAATTGAGAGTGATGTGTTTAAAAGGTGTCCAACACATTGGCCATGGCCAACTGCAGATCAGGTGAAATAAACCACAGATGAGGTTGGAGGCAAAAGAAAATAGACCAAGGTGGACAAATGAAAAACGAATGTTAGCAGAATATGAGACCAACAGCATTAGAAGAAATGGGTACCCACTGGATCATATATGTATGATGATCACTGACAAAAAGAGCAATAAACTAGACTTCTGGTAAAGAGGGGACAATAAAAAGAGAAAAGCCTGGAATCTGGAATGGGAAGGTCAGAAGTAGACTGATCTAGACAAAGAACATGAGTAAAAGGCAAGGCTGAGCAAGAAGAAAAAAATCTTGGAAGATATTGAGGACAAAAGTTTTATAATGTCAGTCCAGGTCACTAGGGAGAAAGGAATATCAGTGAAGATATTCTATCAAAGAAAAGAAAGGGGGCCAGATGAATAACAAGTACATAAGAAGAAGGAGGGAGTACAGTAAAGAGGAACATAACCTGACTCAACAAGTCCCAGCATCAAGGGAAAGAGGGACAGAGCAGAAGAAATGGAACAGGCCAAGCCAGCAAATAGATAGGAATGAATGTCTACAGAGACCTATCGGAAGCAAGAAGAAGTGTCTCAGATGAAAGGCAGAGTTAGGAGAGAGAATACAATAGGTTAAAGGGAAAAAGACAAAAATGTGCAAATGGGGAACCAGAAAGTGAAAAAGAAGGTAAGGGGCCCAATCCTCAAAATGGCAAAATAGATACTAAGGGTAGGAAATCAAGAAAGAGAAAGGATGAAAGTTTACATGTTGGGACACAAGGAGTCAGGAATGAGAGGGAGATAAGGAATTTGGATGTGAGAGGGGAGCTATAAGAGAAAGGAAATGGTATAAATCTTAATAATTAAAAATCCCCAAAAATCATAAATCATGGAGTAAAAAAAAGAAATAATAAAGAACACAAGCATAACTGAAACTGAGATCCAGAAAAAGACTGGAAGGTTAAGGTCAATTTCTCGAATGGTAAAGCACTACCCAAAACAATTCAGGTTAAAGTCATAGTCTAATAAATCATTTCCAACTGAGAAGAAGGAAATCTAGCTGATGGGACAGAAGTATGAGGCCCAATAAGTATGTGGTAATCCATGACATGTTAAACAACGGCTGCATTGACTCCAAAAGTTAAAGAGCCATGGTACAAGTAAGGCCTGAATGTGAACAATATTACTCACATAGGAAAAAGTACAAGTCATCATCACTTAAGAATTCATGATAAAAATTAAAGCATTTGAAACAAAAGCCAGAGAAAATGAAAATCAAAGTTTCATTAATGATGCAATTCTCAATAAACTGAACTCAGACAAGATATTTAAATGTGTCTGTTCAGTACAATGTCAAGGAGAAGACTAAGTTACCATAAGTGCAAGTGCATAAGAGGAGTTATTGCTCATGGAAGTTGTGTTGCCCTCCTATTTGTGAAGAGCTTTGGTTACACCGTGCACCAGAGCAATTCATGTTAAATCTCATAAAATCAGATGGGAGTTGTATCAAGGTTTGTGGCATGCAAATCTCTCAGACAAACACAGAAGGAAGATAGCTAAACTGTGTGAAGAGGTGAGTTATTGTCTGGGAAACTTATATAAATTTGAGTTATATGTACAATATTTTCCTACAATAACATGAGTAAGACAAAGCCTATATCTAGTACCTGTGTTCCTGTATATGTTTCCATGAATAAGGTCTTATGGATGTCTGGACAATTGCTTTGTATGCATACTTCCACCACTGTTTAGCATGGCCCTCTAAAGGAACTCGTGGGTGATATTTCAAGTACTGCTGATTGATGAGCAACATTTGAAATGATTCAGCTAGGGTCAAAATTCCTAAGTACTGGAAGAAAATTGATGAACAAACTGATGATTTGTTCCACTGACCTGCCTGTTACATTACTAAGGAAGAGGCAAATATTATTCCTGAGTGTCAATGATTATTTTTTGTAATTTTCTATCCACTTTTTACACTTTGGGAAACATGAACAAATATGACTGGTACTGCTAAAAACCAACATGACACACAACAAACATTGAAATATCATAACTAACATCTATACCAGAAAATAGCTGAACTAAAAATAGTAATCCATGATCTCCAACTAAACAGTTACATAAAGATGAGGAAAAATTAGGAATCCATAGTTCCTAACTTACTGGATAACATAGAACCAAACTAAACCCAATAATATGTAAAGCCCAAACTGCATGGTAACACAGAGCTGAAGTAAAACTGGTATTTCATGATCTCGAATTTGAATAGCAAGAAAGAGCTGACAGAGTAATCCATAACATACAACTTTCTCTGTAACACCAAAAATGAACTACAGCAAATTATTTAAAGATTGAGGAAATTCATGTAAATTATCAATCTTCTCCTGCAAATGACAAAATAGTTCTACAGCTACAACCACATGATAAAAAGGCATCTGTCCCACACTTATAAAAGTTAATCATATTGACATGGATTGGAAAATGCCTAAAAATTTGATTGTTGGCAATTATTCAAAGAAAAATATTTATACAACAAGACTGTTAAATAATACAAAGCCAAAGGAGAGTGCATTTTGAAGCAATATCTTCATTGCCTCTCAAGGAAGTGAATATAATTCAAACAACTGTACATTTGAGACAGCAAAGGGCTAAAAAACTACACCCCATGCCAATCAGGACTAACACCCTCATTAACAAAGCATAAGATAAGGTTATAAAACAAACATCTACAACTCAGAAAACAATGCAATGAAGCTAGGTATATCTCCAGATATCATTAACAAGATAACACATAAGGATTTGGAGTTCATGAGAAATCACAAGCATTCAGCCACATCTTAAAATTAGCAGCTGCTTTCTTCAAAAAGATGGCAGAAGAAATTGAAATCATAGCATTCCCATTCAGCCGCATACATCAAATACCCTGATACAATTCCAATGGCCATGGTTTTCTTAAGCACACATTTGGAACTTGAAGATCTAAGAGAACAGCCAATTTATGGAAATCTACAAAAGATGAGCACAATAATGGTGACACAGCTATTCTCCAAAGAAGTCTGACCTCATGGCAACATTATTGCAAGACTACAGTTAAAAAGTAGGAGAAGCTGATAAACCATGAACACTAAAGTAAATAAATTCAACAGTAATGGTAGATCTAAGTTTATTGAAAAAAAAAATTAAGAAACTTTCACAGTACTTGTAACATGCACTGCATATCATAAATTTGAACAAACAATAATTTTACATTAGATACAACTTACTTGGTTACGAGACAACTGAGAAGCAGCATCTTGTAGAACAAAGTCAACTAACAATTTTGGAATTTTTGCTTCATTTGACTTGTTGAATATCATTTTCACTTTGGCAGAAATGGGTTTAACAACTGCAATTAATTTAGTTGAGCAAATTACTAATATAATTTTCATTACAAATACCTTAATTAAAGAAGTATTTAACAAATGCTGAACAATGAATAATTATTCAGTAAATTCCTTAGTATCATTAGTATTTACAGTATCAATTTAATTTAATGTTAAAGAAGTCTTTTTATACATATATCATTTTCTATAAAACCCTATAAATTGTAAATGTAATAGAACTGCAGAATGTGTATGTCTTGAAGACTTTAGAAATGAAAGACAATACTGGTCTAAATTAGATTTACATTCAGATTCTTTTTTTGTCAGTGACACTGAACCTTAACCACAAGTGATCTAACTTGATATAACACAGCTACAGTACTGTACAGTTGATATTAAAACATTCCTTTGTTTCACAAACTAACTAGAAAAAAACTAACAAATATTTTGGGCTATAAAAAAAATTAAATAACTTACTGAATTCAAATTCTTCCTGCTGAATACTAAATGTAGCAAGTCCTTTCTTTAAGGCATTCTAAATAAGAACAATGTTTAAATCAATTATCAGTTGAACAATAAAGAATCGTAGAACAAAAATGTAAAAGCACTAATTCACACTGCTATATAGTTATGCAAGTTCAATCTTCATGTCTTAGAAACCAAACATTTCTTTACCATAAGAAGAATCCAATACTCACCAATTCCAAAATATTCTGCAGTTTTGTCATGAAAACAAGGATGAGAAATTTATTATCTCTTAGTACCTTTTGAAAGTTAAATTGAATGAACAAAGCTTGTAAATGCCACTGTCAGGACGTTGCCATGTCAAACATAAGCAACTTGTTACGAAAACAAATATTGTAAATTCTATATAATACTTTACCCTACATTTAAACTGTTGCTTTTCTACATAGCACAAATCTCTTCTGTCATATCTACAATTCAAACAGTATGTTAAAAAATTAAAACATCACAACAAAACATTCACATGATTAAGCACTGTAAAAGTAGATAGCATGGAAAGAAACAAACTTAAATACATATAACACATATACAAAAAATAAAAAGTAGTTACTAATTAATAATTATATTCAGGTGATAATATAGGCTACTAACAAGGATGATTGATATCCAATGGCTGCAACCTTACCATAAGTACTTAAAATAATTACTAGTTTATACAAAAATCCTTACACAATACCTATTAATCTACATTAATCATCTTCAATGGGTAAAATGTTTCCCTCATGGGAAAGTAACTTTTTTTTTTTGTTCATTTTCCCTCACATTTCAATGATTTCCCTTGAAAGACATGACTGCAAGAAATCAATTAAGAAAATTAAATTCACTTGAACTAATTAAAATTTTCCTCTATTTTGATCAAAAAATAACATATAAACCTAGTAAAATGATAAAATTATTTATTTGCCTAGAAATGGAAACAAACTTAAAAAATCATCCCAAGATTAACATTAAAGATGGCCACTCACACAGTGTGTTTCCATGCTCTGCCAAACTGCATATATCTATCTCTTCGTAGGAAAAAAGGACAAATTTTTGAACAATATACCAGAGAATCAAAAAACAGGGTTATTATGGTTTGGAAAATCTCCATATAAGTGAGAGATATTGACATTTTGGTCTGATTTCCTGCAAATTTATGAAAAATGAGTGATAATTCGGTGATTTCTCATATGGAATATCAAGTTTTGCTGCTAATTTCCCCTAATGAAACTTGATTTCTTCAAGAAACTGAGAAAGCATAAATTTTGACCCCTGATCCTCTTACTGTAAATGAGGTATTTTTTGGCGAACTAAAATACTTTGACAAAAGGTTCAAAAATACACAGGAATAATAATTGCCAGGCAATATTCTAAACAATGTTCATTAAAAAAACTGTCATTTTATCTATATCACAAAATTTTTTATTAGGTATGATTCTGATGATAATTCCACAAAATACACAGGCAATATATATCATTTGGGCTGTACTACACTACATAGATGACAATTAATGTAACTTCTACTATTCATAAAGCTATAAGAAAATCAGGAATAAACATTCAAATAATTTAAAAAATCTCGAAAAATCTATTCATTCACTATGATTTTAAATATTTTAAAAATTTCCAATTTGTTTTCAATAATTTTGACAACCTTATGATTTTCAAACACCTACTGGTTCTGGTCCAAAGTTAAATTATATTATTTGTTTAACTTGAATTATCTTTAAATGCACTTTAAAATCATTATTTACAGTTTACATCTAAATATACTGAGCATTTTAATGTAGTTTTTTTCTATAATATCCAACTTTCCTGAAAGCATTGTTGAGTCATTGGATATACTGCATTGTTGCACTGTGTTTTGTTTTCTGTAATGTAATGTGAAATTTGTAAATATGAGAACAGTAAACATTCAGTAACTTATTTTTTAATGTGGAATTATGATAATAATTTTTATAATGATTTCAAGCCTCCAGTCTCCACTAACACAACTTAAAGAGGGTGACTCTTACCTTCCAGTTGTTATTATTACTGAGGAGGTTTCTGGCCCAGTTTTGAGGGTTACAGTTTGTATTCATATAAATGGAGAAAGACTCAAGCTTCAATAACTATAAATGAATTGTTAAATCATAAAGCATTACTAATTTTTAGCCAGAAAAGTAGTTTCATCATAAAAATACAATACAACTTCAAATGCAAAACAAATCAAATAAACAAGTTTTGTGGAATTAAACACTTTCACTTGGATGGGACTTTTATGAAAACTAATTGATATGCAACTTATGGTAAAACTGGCTAGAAGAATCATATAATGAATAATACTGTACAGCTTTTAATTCTATTTTTGTAAAGTTTGATGTACATATTCTTAAGTCAGCTTTACTTTAGATATAATTTTCTGTTCATAACTATAATAATAAATTCTTGTAATTAATTTAATTCAAATGTATTTTTAGTTAACTGTATGTAATGTTAAATATTACAATAAATTGAACATTTGGAGAACATCAATTATTATTAAACACTAAAGTTCAAATGAATTAAAAAAACAAGTTAACTGACTCAATTCTCTCAATTTTTATCTTATTAATAAATCATATACACTATACTACCAATACTTTATATGTTTTGTCTCATCTAATAGTCTAAAAATCAAATCAATGCAAATTTGTCTAGAGAAAACAAATAAAAAGAGCACTTACTTTGTAGAAGTATTTAAAGAAAAGCCTGTGTACTTCAAACACTCTTTCCAATACAAGCTTCATTATAACCCAAATAAATTAAGCTAAACTGTCTACATGAAACTTTATAAAATCACAGAAAAACTGTGAGTAAAACTTTAACTAAACTAACTTCAAGTTTTATTTTTAGCTGCTGAGGATTTCTTCAAATTAATACATACCAATTAAACATATTTTCAGTACTAGTTATAAACAACCATATAACACTAAATGGTTTATTTTTCTTTAGTAGGACACTCAACATTTTGATTTACAGCTTCTTCTGGAGCTTTCCACTAAAACAAACTGTAAGTGACAATACAAAGCTTCAATTTGTTTAAATAATAAATTCTAATTGAATCTGTTGTGTGCAATTCTACAGCATGTATTTGACATATTAAGTAAGTAAAGTTTATGACCAAAAGAACTTTATGATTGAATTAATAAACTGCTACCCACAGTAAACAAACGTTCTATCTCAATTAAATATTAAAATAACAAAAGTTAAGATGCAAAACCCAAGATAAATCAACAGTGAAAAAGACATTTTTCAAAGATAAAAAAAAATATTACTTTCACAGTACATCTAATTGACAAAACTATCTCCAAAAACATAAAATGTATAATCAGCTTATCTGAATGGTTGATTAAAGTTATAGAATGGCCAGGTCCAACTCTCTAAAGCCAGCTTTCAAACTCTCAGTACACTACTGTACAATGCAGTAAAGCTAAATGTCTTTACTACAGGCAACAGTTTATCATTTCAACAATACAACTCTTTCACCAATAAGCTTTATTACTTTATAATATGTCAGATGCATGCTGTAGAAATGCATGCTATAGATCCAATTAGAATTTATTACTTAAAGCAATTGAAGCTTCATACTGTCAATTACAGTTTGAGTTTTAGTGGAACGATATGCACTACAGAAATTAAGTCATTATTTCAGAACTATCACTTTGGTAACAAATAATGCTCTAGTAGTAGAACAATATTTTTGACAGAGTAACATACTAAGTTTTTTCTTTTAAAAAAAGAAGTTGTAGAGTACCTTGAACAAGTTGGTTGCTGAGGAGTTGAGCTGAGTTGGTTTCCATCGATTATTTGTTGTTATGGCAGTTAGGCTCTGCAAGGCAACTCCACAAGAAATTGCTGCATTAGGATTACTAACTGAATCTTCATAGCGAATATGAATATTTTGTATTGATACCTACAAGAAAATAAACTTACATAAATACGTAGATACATATATACTCACAAATCATTTCATTGTTACAATTCTTAGTAAAATCTTCAGAAATTGTAATATAAAGAACTCAGCATTCATTGCTTAGTTGTAAGAAAGAAAAAAATGTTTTGCTGCAGTTATGTATGTAATGTGGGAATGTTTTCTTAACTCTTTAAACCCATAATTTTTTGCATGTTCTACCAGAATTGTTTTCATGATTTCTTAATAATTATCACCATACCTTATAAAACTTCCAGGTTTTAATTTTGTGAACAATAACATGGTTTCAACTAGTTTTCAGCCAAAGAGACATGTTATCAGACTCTGTCACATTCCAATGGGTAAATCAGAATTTTTGGCCAGATTCTGACAGCATCCACTCGAGTTTAAGGAGTTAAAGAATCTATATATGACACTTACACTAGATTTCCTCTTAACTTACTGTGAACAATTAAAAAAGTTCTCAAACTTTATAATGAAACTTTATCAAACTATACTAAAAACAGCCGAGTCTAAGACAGATTTCTACATCTGTCAAGTTAGTTATAAATATAAAGTGCCATTCTTTCAAATTTTACCTATAAATGCTGTCAAGTTTTAAAAGGGACATACAATCTTTAGATAAATTACATGAAACTTTTATCAAGATGCAAATGGATCAGGCTATATTTACAGATATTACCAGGTTTAAAGCAAGTAAAACATAAAAATGTACAGATGTTAATTTAAAAACTCTCAAGTTATGTAACTATAACACTGCTAAAATATTATACTTACCAAGTATTAAGTTTATGAAAACAAAATAAACATTTTATTGACATCTTATTCTTACCTGTACATTATTAATAATGGTGGCAGCCAAGTTTTCAAAGAAACCCCTTGGTTCATTACCTATTAAATATTTAGGTTTTTAAAATTTCATTATGAGTGAGACAGATAAACAAAATTTAAGCTTACGTTTCTAACCCTATCCAAAAGGATAATGAAATTCAAACAATTTGGAGGTTTTTGCTTCAGCAAAAGTACTTTCACTATTAGCTTTCTCAGAGAAATACTAGAAAAGAAATTTAAATATCACACAAAAAGAATATCTTGAGAATTAATTTAATAATGAGCTTATAATAGCATAAGTAGGTACCTAAATATAGGGTTAAAGGAAAAACTTATATCACCAACACCCATGTATCACAAATTTGTTTTAACAGTAAATATCAACCAATACAATACTTCAATTGTAATATAACAAAATTTATCAATAATAATTTCTATTATTTTGAACCTTACCCAGTACAGAATATCTCTCTATCATAAAGAAATGTCATGCAGTACTGTATAGATTATCATCTGCCACTATTTAAATCTTTCTAATGTTGAATTATCTTAACATGAAATGTCATCCATTGCAGACTTTCTTGAATATAAAACAATAACTACTGTACTATGTTTTTTAATATTAATATTAACTAATACTGATTATCTCTCAATATTATACTGAATTTCAGGACCTTCCCGAACATAAACAGCAGCTAAACCTGTTCTACAGCATTTAATACATAACACTTCATGCCACTATTGTAAAAAAGTATTAACTTGTATTATTTCTAGGGATCAGTCTGGTACCAGTATTCAATACATAAACAAACCACAAATAACATTATAAGCATTGCACACTGAAATTACAAAAAGTGAGAAATTTATATTGTTTATTGAACTTTCAGCCAAAACATTTTCCACAGATCTGTACAGAATTACTATGCTATATGTAATGCTTAAGCAAATGTAGAAGTAAGCTGACTAAGTTAGCCTTAACTACCAGTCTATTCCCTCTCAGAATGACCACATCTTGCTTCTTTGCAACAATGTAACAACACCCCTTAAGATTAGGCTACTGGGTAGTTGAGAAAGTGCTATGCAATTCCAGAAAAATAATATATATATTTTTATTTGCTGTTCCTCCCAAAATGCAAAAAATATTGCCCCATAATTCAATTCTTCAACTTTTACAAGCTTTATGTACCTCTAAAATTTCATTTGAAGGTAGGTACAGCTCCCCATAGGAGTAAATAGTCTTCCAAATAAGTGTCTAATAATAAGAGTAATCTTGAAACTTCAAAAACTAGGAAGAATTTTGGATAGAGAAAAAGATAAAATGGCAAAAATTGGGAAGGAGAAAACAAAAAGAAAAGAAAGGTAAAGGGGGAAAAGGAAACTAGGAAAAGAGAAAACATATATTAACTATTGGTTCCTGTTACTGAAGCCATGCTGTTATGGCACTGCTGTCAAATAATCAGATACACTGATTATCAGGGAAGAACTAAGAGCCTTGAATGAGGATACAGAAAAATCTGAATAGTTTCAGAAGAATATTTATCATTGGCTCTTCATGTGTTGAGTGACTTACTCTTATTAACTAAATAAAAAGGAAGCCCAGTTGTCTCGTACAAGTCTCCAGCTTTACACATTTTTTGCTGGTCTTGGTTCAAAAGCATTTGGTTTTGATTGTCATCTGCATGAGGTCTGTATCTTTTGTGTACTCCATTTTCCATTAGTTCAACTGCTTCTGCAATGTCTCATTCAGAAGGAGTCCAATAACTCCAAACATCCTTCTATTTATCTCAGCTTTGTACTTCTTTTTTAAATATAGTATGAAACTTGGATCAAGAAAATAACAGCTTATTCAATCAACTTCAGGTTGTCTATTCAGTTATTTACAAAATAGTGCTTAATCTGTTCTGTAAGCTTCTCCATCAAAACATACACAATCCATAAGTCTGTCAACTTCAACTTACACATTGAAGAATACTTTTATAACAAATATTTTCATATCATGTGTTGTGTAGCTAGATCCACTTACAGTGTCAATTCATTAGCCATAAAGAATGGATCAAGGGTATTCTATATATTCTCCAACATGGTCCAAACATCTGGAATGATTCCAACATTTTCTACTCATTTAGATTTTTGTCTAAGATGTTGTCAGCTGTTTCAGCAGCTGAACAATGTCTGATCAGTAACTCAGAACATTATCATCACCAAATATTCTATTTGTTACCTATGTCATGTTGGAGTCTATAACTATCATGTTTTTAGAGCTTGCAACAACTTAAGTTTTACCATTTGTGGTAATTCAAGGTTATAACCATCGATGGTTACGTGAGTTTTGCAAAATCAAGAGGCTTGTGGATCTAATAAGCAGTGATTTGTGTCAAATGTTGAAGTCAGAATAAAATTAAACAAACACTTTTTGTCGAAACAAAATACTATAAAATGAACTGACTGATTAGTAGAAATATTATGGAAGAATGCTGAATTTAAAAAAGTAAATTAATAAATTTGAAAGTACAATGTATTTAAGAATGAATAATGAACTGAAGAGAGTGAAATACACACAATCAGCAGTCCGAGGAATATTGTCAGATCAAGACTTCCACAGCTTGTCTTGACTCTTCTAGGATCAGAACTTAACTTTTTCTAAAATTCTTAAACCACCTTAACCATACATGTTTTCCTTGCAGCTGACAAATCAGAAAAAAATGCCAAAATAAAGAAATATCTCCGTTCCAGCTGCAAGATATCTCCAAAATAAACAGTCAATAAAAACATGATGCAACTATCCCATGAAACATTAGATAACTTCCTTGACTAATCAAGTTACAAAAAGTAACACCTGAGGCTTCAATTTTGCACACCATCTCAACCTCATTCAGTATGTTCTGAACTTAGAATAATGTTAGAATTTTGTAGATAATAAATATACACCACAGAAGAGCAAGAAATATACTACTTGCATATTATACACTTTTAATATGGAATGCTTAACTTGTCCCATAAATTTTCTATATTTCCACATTACACCAGATACTTCATCCATCAACTTCAGCTCCAGGCTCAAAATGAGAATGTAGTTCTCCATCTTTACCTCCACTATTCCAAGACTGTAATGTTATCTCTCTAGGTTTGTCCTGTTACTGTGATTATGATTCTGAAGTAATAGGTTTCTCCAACAAATTATCTGCCACATACAAATGTCATTATTATCCAGCTGCAATTTTTCCTTTTCAGTCCTCATATTTTACCATCACAAAACCAGCTGTTTATTCTTTCATCAACTTCTAGCAACACATACTACTTATTAAGTTCAGGTAATGACCAAACTCCAATCACTATATAGCTGTCACATTGTTCAACCCACTGTCATTTACCATAGAAAACAATTAGTTTTGAAGGCCAAATTCAGATCTTACATCTTTTAGAATTTCTTTTATAGGACTGGTGTATGAGCTCCCTAAAACTCTTTGTAGCTTAATACAATACATTAATATTTAAAATGAAGTCAGAATCTACAAAATAAGCTAAAACAAGTCTGTACAGATGTTGTGCTATCCTAGTAGAAAAATCCAGAATAATGAAACCACTGCTTTAATTTGCTGTTGTAGCTTTAAAGTCATTTATCTTCATTTTAGATAGTTTCTTAACATATTTAACAACAGTTTTAGAATTTGGCCTTTTATGACCTGGGGTTGTAGTCTGTAAAAATTGTTTCACACCAGCATGCTCAAACACAGAGAATGGTAACTCATCAATCAGTCATGTTTATCACAGCCTTGTTCAATTCTCATTCATGATGTGAACTTAGAGCTTGTTTCTCTTTTGTTTTTGTTTTCTAATGGATCTTGTTTCTCTGTTTAGATTTTGATAAGATGTAGACCTTTGAATGTTTTCTTAATCCTAAGGTAGGCCTACAACTAACACTCAATTACCTTCTTATAAAGCATCCATTCCCCTTCTATTTTAATGCAATAATCCCCCACACATATTACTTTTTTGTCCACATTTTCCTTAATGTTCAGCTTATACAGGTTGTGCAGCCATTGTTTAGTTTACTCAGTAATAATAATAATAATTCTATAGTTTGAAATATTTCCCAAATTAAAATTAAAATTGAGGGGCAAACATCTAAATCAGGATTAGCAGTTTGAATTCTTTATTACTTTATCCAAAACAAATGCTAAATGAAAATAAAATTATAAATTATAGTTTTTATGCTGTAGATGAACTGGGGTAAAGATCAGACAGAATTTTTTGAAACTTAAAGATGTAATTTGCTCTCACAAAAAACAGGATACCAGACTGAAAAGGGTTAAATAAAAATGGAATGATCTGGAGTTTTTCTTTTAAATACCTTTTAAAATACTTAAAATGATGAAATTGTTTACAGTCACATAAAAGCTAGAAAGTCAACATTACAACTATGGATAATATTGTTTTTCAATTTATTGATAACTTTAAACTAATTACCACACTAGTTACTCACACTAATCCAAGTTAGCTTGCATTATCATAGCTAAAAGTTAGTAAACTTACACTGTCAAAATTCAATAGAAATGCATGCTACCACAAGTCAAAATGAACCTAAACTAACCCACATTAGCACCAAGTCACACTAACCCACATTACCATCAAGTCAACCTGACCAACATTACTATCAAATCACACTAACTCACGTTACTTTGAAGTCACATTAACTCATGTAAACATCAGCATATTATACAAAGTTCAAAATGTGTAACAATATACAAAGTTTAGATCATATTATTGTATTCAAAGTTAACATCAAGTCACATTAAATCAAATTTGTATAAAATTCAATTAAGTTGGAAATAAATCACATCAGCATAAGGCAGCAAATAGTCACAGAAACTAAGGTTAACAACAAAATACACTCACCCAAATTAGCATCAAGTGTAGGATCTTGAAGGTCATCCAGATGTTTCTGCTTCCATGCTTGCATGAGTAGTCTCTGCTTCTCTGGGTCATAGTCTTTGTTTGTAACAGGTCCAGCAAGAACTAATATATCTTCTATATGAACCAATACAGGTTCTGAATAGAGGCCTGTCCACGGAATGTCTATTGAAATTTTTCCTGTATAAAGAAATATCTATACAGTATTGGAAATTATTATATTTCTTCAGTAGCAGCAGAGAAACTGACCAGGTTTTGAGTCATACAACTCTTGAGTACAGAGAACCAACAGAAAAGTTGTTGAAACATAATTAATTTGTGGCAGAGGACCAGTAGGTTAGTTGTTGAAACATATTGCAGATTTTAGTGCTAGTGAAGCAACACAATATACAACACAATACATTAGTCACTGAAGACCAATATATCATTATTCTCTGATAATAAACCAACTAAAACTATACTGAAACATCAAAAAATTCTTTAACAGTGAAAGACCAACAGAAAACTACTGAAAGTGGATGAAACATAACACATTTATCAAGAGAATAAAGAAAACCACAACAAAACATTAAATGCCATAGTTTCTGTTGAATCATAATACAGGTCTTTACAGAATGGCAGTAGATCAGTTATTGGTACATGTAATTATTTCAACACAAGACCATGGCAAGCTTCTGGTAGTACACTGGGTGGTCACAAGTAAATACACACCTAATTTTTCATCATTTAACTGATTTACGCTAACTAATTTGTGTTCACAGAGCACTATATAAATGAAAATGGTCCGCACACTAATTAGCTACAACATGCCTAGAACTCAAGGTTCTCTCGAATTGTCAGATTTTGTTAGAGGAAGGATAGTTGGTCAAGCAGATGGTGGAATAAGTCAGCGGCAAATTTCGCAGAATTTAGGAATCCCGCTTTCGACGGTCAACAAAATCATCGTGCAGTTCAGGAAACACGGCAAGGAAACAACTGAGCAGTGTCCGGGTCGTCCTGGTCCATCGGAGAAGACAAAAAGGGCTGTCAAGAGGAGCATCGAAATGGATCCCAGATTAACGACTGCAGAAGTGGCTAAAGTTGGTGGGATGAGCCCGAAATCTGTTCAACGGATTCTCCACAGATTGGGTTATCGTTGCAGAGCAGTTAGACAGAAGCCCTTATTAAGACCTGCCAACATAGTCAGACGAAAGAAGTTGGCGAGTGATATGATGACCAAGCCTCTG